CTGGTGAGAGGTGGTGACGTCAATTTGAACCCCGCCCACTGGAACCGGTACTGAAAGCATAATGGAAACACAACCTGTACCGTACCGAGTAGAGTAGAGCCGTGCTGTACCGGCCCGTACCGGTACTAATGGAAAAGGGGCATAAACGGAACCTGTTCTGACAAAACTCGGACTGACTGTTGGCATTTCAGGATCTAAAGACAATGGGACTCGCTGAGAGTTTGATTTTAAAGTCCATCCATCCATCCATTATCTTTTACCCACTTCTTCCATTTTGGGTCACAGGGGTCGCCGGTGCCCATGTCCATCAATCACTGTGTGAGGGGCGGGGTACACCCTGGACAGGTCTCCAGTCCATCACAGGGCCACACAGAGACAAATGAGACAAACAAGCATTCACTCTCTCTCTCTCACACCTAGGGACAATTTTTAGAGTTACCAATCAGCCCAACATGCATGTTTTTGGTCTGTGGGAGGAAACTGGAGTACCCGGAGAAAACCCATGCATGCACGGAGAGAACATGCAAACTCCACCCAGAAAGGCCCCTGGACCGGGATTGGAACCAGGGACCTGCGCACTGAGAGGCAGCAGCTCTACCAGTTGCACCACCGTGCTGCCTTCACATGACATATGCTGTTAAATTCATTCATCCATTATCTTCTGCTTATTCTGAAGTTGGGTCTTGGGGGCAGCAGCTTGAGCAGGGAGGCTCAGCAGACATCTCTTTCCACAGCCACCTCTTCCATCTGTTCTGGGGGGACTCAAAGGCATTCCCAGGCCAACCAAGAGACTTTTCCCTGGTTGTTCTGGGAACACGAGGCCTGGGAACAACGGGTCTCCTCCCAATTGGATATGCCCGAAGCGCATCAACTGGGTCCTCTCAATGTGGAGGAGCAGCGGTTCTACTCTGAGTCTCTCCCGGATAACTGAACTTCTCACCCTATCTCTAATAGAGAGTCCAGCTACCATGCAGCGAAAACTCATTTCAACTGCCTGTATCCGTGATCTCATTCTTTCAGTCACTACCGAGAGTTTTTGATCATAGGTGAGGGTAGGAACGTAGACCAACTGCTAAACAGAGAGCTTTCCAGCTTTACAGCTCACAGCTCCCTCTTCACCACAAGGGACCGGTACAGAGTCCACAATACTGCAGACGCTGCACCAATCCATCTGTCAATTTCACGCTCTATGCTTCCCTCACTCATGAGCAAAACTCCAAGATACTTGAACTCCTCCACTTGAGGCAGAACCTCACCCTTGACCCGAAGATAGTAATCCAACCTTTTCCAACTGAGGACCATGGCCTCAGATTTGGAGGTGCTGATTCTCATCCCAGCCGCTTCACACTCGGCTGTGAACCACTCCAGTGAGAGCTCAAGATCACGGCACGATGACGCCAACAGGACCACATCATCCACAAATAGCAGAGAAGCAATCCTAAGGCCATCAAACCAGACACCCTCCGGCCCTTGGCTGCACCAAGAAATTCTGTCCATAAAAGTTATGAACAGAATCGGTGACAATGGGCAGCCATGACGGAGTCCAACTCCCACCTTAAATGGGTGCAACTTACTACCTGCTATGCGAACCAAACTCTTGCACCCACTGTATAGGGATCAAACAGCTCATAGCAAAGGGCCCCCAATCCCATACTCACGGAGCACCCCCACACTGTACCCTGAGGAACACAGTTGAATGCCTTCTCCAAGTCCACAAAGCACATGTAGACGGGATGGGCAAACTCCAATGACCCCTTCAAGGTCAAGGTCTCTTTATTGTCATTTGCACCACATGTGGTACATGTGGTGGAACGAAATTGTGTACACAGGGTCCCAGTTACATCCAACAAAAGTATAAATTGAAAAGAAAAACAGTGATAAGATCTAAGATATGAACTAAGAAATATTCTAAACTAAGCATATACTAAGCACTAATAGTAAACAAAAACAATATGCCAAAAAACAGCAGCACGAACATGAGTCTGTGTGAGCAGATGAGTACCGGGTATGAATAAACAAAGCAGCGTGAAATAAATCAGCAACATGAGATCAGCAGCATGGATAGTCAAGAGCACATACCAACAATCAAGTGGAATTACAGTGATTTTTTTCACAGTGATAATTCTGATTAGGGTCTCATGAGCTTAACAGCTTCAGGGTAGAAGCTGTTCCTCCTCTTGAGGACCCTAGTGACGGTAAAAAGATGGTCCAGTGTTCCACGGCCAGGATGGAACCCACATTGTTCCTCCTGGATCTGAGATTCGACTAACGATCAAAGTCGCTTTTTCAGTACCCCTGAATAGACCTCATAAAGGAGGATAAGGAGTGATGCCCCTGTAATTGGAGCACACCCTCTGGTCCCCCTTTTTGAAGAGGGGAACCACCACCTTAGTCTGCCAATCCAGTGGCACTGCTCCCAATGTCTATATGATCTTGAAAGGCGTGTTACCCAAGACAACCTCACAACATCCAGAGCCTTACGGAAATCAGGACGAGTTTCATCCACCCCCGAAGCCCTGCCACTGCAGAGCTTTTTTAACCACCTCTGCAACCTCAGCCACGATTATGGACAGACCAACCCTAAAGTCCTCTGACTCAGCTTCCTCCGTGGAAGACATGCCGGTGGAATTGAGAAGGTCTGAAAAGTATTTCTTCCACATCCCGACAACATCACTGGTTGAGATTAACAGCACCCCACCTACACTGAACACAGTATTTGTAAAGAGCTGCCTTCTCCTCCTCATCCGCCTGATGGTTTGCCAGAATATCCTCGGAGTAGAACGAGAGTCTCTATCCAAGGCCTCACCAAACTCCTCCCACAACTAAACTTTTGCTTCAGCAACAACCAAGGCTGCGGACCGCTTGGCCCTCCAGTAAGGCCCGATAGGACTCCTTCAGTGTGGCAGCCTTCCTGTCCCGGGGTGTCTGTGACTTATCTGTTTATATAAAGTTAGAACTGAACTGAATCAAATTGAATGAAAACCTTGCGACCACAGCTCAAGGCAGCTACTTCAACATAGAAGATGCGGAACATGGCCCACTCGGACTCAATGTCCCCTGCCTCAGCTGGGATAAAGTTAAAGCTCTCCCAGAGGTGTGAGTTGAAGATCTTCTAATGGGTTCTTCTGCCAGGCATTCCCAGCAAACCCTCACTACACGTTTGGGTCTACCGGGTCTGTCCAACATCTTCTCCCGCCATCTGATCCAACTTACTACCAGGTGGTGATCAGTTGACAGCTCAGCTTCTCTCTTCACCCGAGTGTCCAAAACAAACAGCCGCAAATTAGATGACATGACTATGAAGTCAATCAACGATGTACAACCTAGGGCATCCTGGTGCCAAATGCACTTATGGAGACCCTTATGTTCGAGCATGGTGTTCATGATGGACAAACTATGACTAGCACACAAGTCTAACAACAGAACATCGCTCGAGTTCAGATCAGAGAAGCCCTTCCTCCCAATCATGCCCCTCCAGGCCACACTGTTGTTACCCATGTGGGCATTGAAGTCCCCCAGGAGACACAAACAACAGTCAAAACCCGTCCCCACACCCAAAGGTGCAAGGAAGCTACACTCTCATCTACTAGGAAAAATTCCAACACACAGGCACCAAGTCGGGATGCTCAAAGTAGACCCATACCAGCTCGGCACCTCTCACCATGGGCAACTCCAGAGTGGATAAGTTTCAGCCCCTCTCAAGGAGATTAGTTCCGAAGCCCTATGTGTCAAGGTGAGCCCAACTATATCTAGTCTGGACCTCTTAACCTCACACACAAGCTCAGGCTCCTTCCCCACCAGAGAGGTCTTGTTCCATGTCCAAAGAGCCAGCTTGGTAAGCCAGAGTCAGAGCACCAAGGTCCCCACCTTCAGCCACTGACCATGGCATCTTGCACCCGACTCATATGGCCCCTGCTGCAGGTGGTGGGCCCACAGGAAGGCAAACTCATATTGCTCATTTGGGCTGAGCCCCATGGGTAGAGACCTGGTCACCAGGCGCATGCCGATGAGCCCCTCCCCGAGGTCTGGCTCCAGGGTGAGGCCCTGGTAACCCAAGTCCTGGCAAGGGACACTGAGCTCCTTGATTATTTCTGTCCATAAGAGTCTTTGGAATTGCCGTTTGTCTGGCCTGTCACCTAGAACCTAGAACCAATCTGCCTTGGGAGACCCTACCAGGGGCCATCACCCCCAACAGCATAGCTCCTAAGATCATTCAGGCGCACAAACTCCTCCACCAGGACAAAGGTGGTGATTCAAGGAGGAGTTATGTTAAATTATGAATGGTGAATTAATTAATTCATTAATTTAACTAATTAAAATTACGGTGTGTTAAATTCATAAACAACATTAATTATCATTCACTTTTGTGTTGAACAATACAAGAACATGTAATGTGAGAAACATAATCCACAGCTGTATTTTGTTGAAGACGTGCTATATTTCAGACTTCGTATTTTTATCAAGTTGTGTTCATGTATCTTGGATCAGAAGATGTGACCAGGAAGAGCAAAACCCTTGTTTGACATTTGACCTTGCTTTGTGACCTTGACCTTAGAGGTGGGTTGGTGAAAAGTGTATGTGACACTCCATCTAGTGATGATGCATAGATGTATCAAGTTTGATTAAAGTATCTTGAGCGGATCAGAAGTTCTGGCCTGGACAAGAGAAAGTTTATGGACATATGTTTGCACGTATGGACAGACGGAGACTATACCAGAATAACATTTATATTTACGTCGGGCGTATAATAATACTAAAAGATTAAAGCTGCACTTTTGATCCAGTTTTCAGTTTCATCTCTGAACTCACCACTGAATGTAGGTGTGGTTGTGCTCCAGTTTGTCGTAGTCTCCTCTCCATTTGGTCAGAATCTCCTCGATGTAGATCCCTGAGAAGACAACGAGATGTCAGCTGGTGTGTTTTTCCTCTCACACACATCTGCTGGACTGTTCTGTGAGTGTGTGTTTGTGAGCTCATACCATCAGGGACCAGAGGGATTTTGTTCATGTAGAAGCGTAGGTTTCTGTACTCGCTGGGCTGCCTGGACTTTCTGTAGTTCTACACGTGGAACAAGAACACCACATTAGTCTGTGGGGAAGAGGACACAGCTGTGGTTGGACTCTGGTCCCGGGTGTGTGGTTGTGTGTACCGGGTAGCTGTGACGGTATTTATGGAGATCCCTGGCAGCATAGAAACTCCTCTTCATCTTTGGAGCGGACTCTGGAGAGTCAGTCAGCTGACAGAAGAGAAGACAGAAAAGTAATTGAGAAACAAATAAAATGAAAATTTAAAAAAACTTTTTGTGTGTGAATAGATGCAGTGTAACCCTCATTCAATTCAATTCAATTCAATTCAATTCAATTCAATTTAATTTAATTTAATTTAAATTCTGTTCAGTTTATTTATTTAGCGCCAAATCACAGCAGAAGTCGTCTCAGGGCACTGAACAGGAACATTCACAAACAGTGCATAGTAAAAGTTTATCTAATGAAGGAAGCGCACTCATTGAATCGTCATGAAAAGATGGAAGTTTACAGTCCAAGCTGAATTATTTCTCTTTGGTTCGATTCAGAACGGCCGTGAAACAACACAAAACGTTGTGGAAGTCTGATTTTCTAACACGCCCTCTGTTCAGAACTTCTTGTGTGATAAAGCTTTAAATCCAGAACATTATAATCCTCAAATGACAAGGATAAATCCTGTCCAGAAGAAATTAGTCATAGTAAAGCAATTTAAAATCATCCCATCAGGAATTCAACTACGGGGCTGGAAATAAAATCATGTTTTTAATGAAAGGTGCAGCTATTAGCAAGGAAGCACCATTACTACGATCCTTTACAAAATGTTTGTCCTTTATCACCAACTTTAAAATAAAACATGTTCTCAAATGTACCCTGTTAGAGTTGGAGAGCTATGACTTCAGTCTGTAGACAAAACTCCACGAAGAGCAAGAAAAATAAAGAATGGACATCAAGGACATTTTGACAAAACATGAAAAAAGAATCTCTTTAGACCTCTGTAGCTCACATATAATCCATCCATCATCCAATTATACATCCATTCATCCAATTATCCATCCATCATCCAATTATACATCCATCCCATCCATCCATCCAATTATACATCCATTCATCCAATTATCCATCCATTCATCCAATTATACATCATCCCATCCATCCATCCATCCATCCATCATTCAATTATACATCATCCCATCCATCCATCCATCATCCAATTATACATCCATCCCATCCATCCATACAATTATCCATCCATTCATCCAATTATACATCCATTCATCCAATTATACATCTATTCATCCAATTATCCGTTCATCCATCATTCAATTATCCATCCATCTAACCAATTATCCATTCATCCCATCCATCCATCAATCCATCATCTTTACCCACTTCTTCCTTTTTGGGTTATGGGGGTCACTGGTGCCCATGTCCAGCCATCACTGTGTGAGAGGTGGGGGACACCCTGAACAGGTCTCCAGTCCATCACAGGGCCACATAGAGACAAATGAGACAAACAACCATTCACTCTCTCACTCTCACCTAGAGGCAATTTAGAGTTACCAATCAGCCTAACATGCATGTTTTTGGTCTGTGGGAGGAAACTGGAGCACCTGGAGAAAACCCACACATGCACGGAGAGAACATGCAAACTCCACCCAGAAAGACCCCTGGCCGAGATTTGAACTGGCAACTCCACCAAATGAGCCACGTGCCACCAGCTCAGATATAATTCACAATATAAACATCATTCGAGGTTTAAACGGGTCACAGAAAGGTGGATGTTACAAGTCTGAAGTGACATTTTGATCTTTACATGTGTTGTAGAATTATTTAGCATTTAATATTTTTACGTTTGTTTTATTTATTTATTTATTTATTTATTCATTCATTTAAACAAAAAAATCCATCAAAACAAACAAACAAACAAAAAACCACTGAATGAAAAGTGTGCAGAAAGAAGAAGAAAATACTTATAACATCTGCCCCTTACTTAAAAAAATATAAAATAACTACAAACAACAACTCAGGCTCGAACAATCCCCAAAGTGAAAACAAAAAAACATCAGGCATTCTTCACATGGTATCATACTTTACTAACAATTTTAACCTAATCATCTTTTTAAACATATAAATTGTTTTAGAATGTTTATTCCACAGTCGTTTTCCCTGAATTACAACGCAGCTCCTTCAGTCTAGTTCTAAATGGAGGTTTTACAAATATTTCCATTCCCTTAAGTTTATAATGACTCTCTTTTTTTTAACAAATTTTAATTGAATATTTGGGGGAACTTTTTTTAAATGAGATTTATACATGACTTGTAAAATACTATATTCAACCAAATCATAAATTTTTTATAATTTCAACTGATGAAACAATATATTTGTTGGGCACTTATTAGCACTTCCTACTAATAATTCTTATAGCTCTTTTTGTAAAATAAAAATAGGATTTGTAATTGTTTTTCATGATTTTCCTCAAATTTCAATACAATAGATAAAATTTGGAACAATCATTACATTATACAGGTTTGTTTTCATGAACTGATCAAATTGATCTATGTTTTCAGCTGTCTAAAATATTTTTTTTATTTCCAAAACTCTTTGTGTTATATATATATACACAAATCACACGTCAAATCAATCCTTTTTGTTCTATTTCACGCAGTGTGTGTCTCACTGCTACAGGACTTGTGTTTTCTGTCAAACCTCCTGAAATTTAGTCATGATATTCTTTTACAAAGCTTGAAGTGAAGGGCCTTTAAACTTGTTATAAATCCTACATCAAATACTGTAAATCTTATGTGTTCAAGCGTTTTAGGCAGTTTGTAGCAGACTTACTTTTCAGGTTGCAGATTGTGTCTGCCTGTCATTGAAGTTGCGGTTGAGAAGAGGCAGACAGGTGTTTCGTTACCATGGTGACTAAAATGAGCAGATAATCAGCTTGAACAATTCTTTAGATTATGGGTCCTTTCACCCATGGTTCATCAAAATGTTATTCATTATGAAGCTGCATCAGCATCACAATGTGTGCAGGATCGTACAAAATGACCCGAACTCCACATCCACACGATGTTACATGATGTTCCAGTAGAGTTTAATATTTTACATTTGACCTATTTCACCATGTTTTAGTAAATAAATATCTGGTCAAGCCCCAACACGCAGGCTGCATCAAATCTAATTGTATTTAATCAGGTCGAGCATCTTCCGGATCATTACCAGGTGTACTCTGGACCTGGTTTCATACAGATTCGGTACCGGAGCCTGCTCCGACCCCGCAGAGGCTCGGTGTACCTGCGGGGAGGTGTCTCCGCTGTGTCCGGCGGCCTGCACCCCCTCCACGGCGCTCACCGACTCGGATGTCCCGCTGTCCTCCTCGGCTTCCGGCTCCGAGTCCGAGCCCCACGTCGAGTCGCATTCCTCCACGGTGCTCGGCTCCTTGTACCGCCAGCTGCCCACCAGGTTTCCCATCGACAAGCATGCAGCTCCAGCTGTCTGCTCAGAATGCTACATCTGGCTGTTTGTGCAGAGCCGAGCTTTAAAGGCACAAATGGGGACTTCCAGCGCGAGGTTTCTGTATGAGGGGTGATTAGTGCCGCCCACCGGCAGGGGACAGGAGGACATGGTTCTTTAAAACATCTATATGAGGGGTGATTAGTGCCGCCCACCAGCAGGGGAAAGAAGGACATGGTTCATTAAGAGTCAGAGTCAGAGTTTCTTTATTGTCATTCGCACCTCATGTGGTACATGTGGTGGAGCGAAATTATGTACACAGGGTCCCAGTTACATCCAACAATAAAATCTATAAAAAAAAACCAGTAATAACATCTAAGATATGAACTAAGAAAAACATCAACTAAATATACACTAAGCACTCATAACATAAAAACATTGAACATCAGCACAAACATGAACATGAGTCTGTGTGACCGGATGTGCACGCATGAACACATCAACATTGAAACAGATCAGCAGCAACATGATGTGATTTTTCACAGCGATTATTCTAGTTAGAGATTCATGAATCTAACAGCCTCAGGCTAGAAGCTGTTCCTCAGTCTAGTGGTTCTACACTTAATGCTCCTCAACCTCCTTCCTGAGGGGAGTGGGGCAAAAAGTGTGTGTGCTGGGTGAGTGGAGTCCTTCATGATGCAGGTAGCCCTCTTCCTGCATCTAGAGGTGTAGATGTCTGTGATGGTGGGGAGGCTGACTCCAACAGATTTCTGTGCAGCCTTCACCACTCTCTGCAAAGCTTTTCTTTCTGCAGCTGTGCAGCCTCCATGCCACACGTTGATGCTGGAGCACAGGATGCTCTCCACTGCACACCTGTAGAAGGAGGTGAGGACTGAGCTTCCCAGACCAGCTCGCCTCAGCCGTCTGAGGAAGTAGAGTCTCTGATGAGCTTTCTTGATCAGGCTGGTGGTGTTGTTGCTCCAGCTGAGGTTGTCATTCATGTGTACACCCAAGTACTTGTAGCTGGAGACCACTTCCACCGCAGATCCTCTTATGTTCAGGGG